AAGCGAGAGCGAGACCACAATAGCTCCGCTCACACACACATACTGTGCAATGTTAACTGCGACCAACTTCACGGCGTACAGGCGTGTAAGCGCTAGAACACGCAATAAAAAGTTTGACGAAAACAAGGCGAAAGAAAAGAAAATAAAAACTATATCGCTCTATGCTAACATTCTGGATAATGAGAACAACATGGCGTCGTCCATATTGTTTAACAAATTCTCATAAAGTTTACTTTCTCTTATGCGGTAGATTTGTTATTAAGTTCTTCCGAGATTAGCTGATGCGCATGTCAAAATATTGGTAGAAACAACAAAAACACTGCACGGCATACACATTGCAATAAAAATGCGACGGGGTGTGCCAATTCGAAATCTGATTTTAATACTGATTTAAATAATTTCCTTAGACACTCGAGCAAAACAAACTAAAAACAATTTGAAATTTAACAAAACAATTGCTTTGGGCTGGCAACTCTGTGCGTGGGGCATTATTACGCACATCTACCTTCACGTTGCACAAAACGGAATCGAAAGCAAAACAAATGAACCCGCGAACGTGTGCGAGCGAGCACACCATACAGACGGCCAGTGGAAAAAAGAATATGCAATCAAATATGGCGACACACAGTACACAGTATGCAAAAAAAAGGAGACATCAACAAATGGAATATTTATTTAACTTTCTCGAATCAAAATAAAATCTGAATTATAATTAGTTTTGAACCGATTTATATGTAATCCCATTCGGGTCTTTTTTTTCGTTTCAATATAGGTTGCCGATTTGGGCGCGCACTCACACACACTCACACACTAGTTTTACTCACCGTTTACTCTGTAAATTTTGAGTTTTCACTTCATTTTGCACAACTTAGTTTAATATGACAGCAAGCTACGTGGGTTTTTTTTATCTCGAAACTTTATATCTCAATTTTAAAAATACAAATTGGATTTGTATACACTTTGACACTGGTTTTTTTTTGTTCCGTTGCACATTGTTGATTCGCAACATTCAAGTGATGACGCGACGGCGTTTCGAACGTTTACTACCTGCACAAATCAAAATGTTTCTACTTTGATTAATCAATTTTATTATTATTAATACCGTATGGCACAAGAAACAGAAGACAAAACGCGCAAGAAAACACATACACTGGTGTTGTTAATGACGTGTGTATGAGCGAGACGACTAGTCGGTTCGGACAGAGCGAATAGCTAGTGTGACCGTTCTAGCCTATGGACAAGACTTGCCAACTGCCTATTATCGCCTATTTTATTTTGTTCGCCTTCCCTGCTTCTTCTTGGTTTTTGTGTTGCTCTGTTTCCCTGTTTAGCCTATTACTACTGCGCCTGGCCATTCCGAAATGCTGTACGTACATATTTCGATTTCGCCTTTCCGCCTATTCGTTGATACCCACACAAACGTATATTTGTGCATGCCTTTCTACGTAGGTATGTGTAAAATTTATACACACGGATGTTGGCGCACATATACACAAAAAGTAAAATAGTTATGTTATTAACTATTTAACCACCAGCTATTTACACTTTTAACACTCATTAATCAAATTTGTAAAAATACAAGGATTAGATACAGAAACGTAGACAAAATAGAAAAGGGAACTGCAAGGAAATGACAATTAGTTGAAATCAACTTATTGGCCATCTATCGGCCGAAGACTATGAAATTAATTCAGAATCGAACCACACAGTCAAGTAAACTATACTTTTTTGTAGAATTAGTTATACTTCTCCTACACTCACACAAATATTATATATATATGTATATATAGACCGCGGCTAGTACACGTTTAGCGTCGTCTCGCTCCCACCTACGCTCCGCACGTATTTTGCCTCTCACAATGTGTGTGTTTTCCTCTTTTCCAACACGCTAATAAGAAATCGTCATTTTTAAAAGTGCTTTAACAGCCAAACTAACACGTTTCACGGGGTAATTTCATAGTTCTGCGATTGCCGCGCTCGCATACTACGCTCCCAGCTATTTTCACAAATTTTTTGTTGACGTTTCGAGCACAATTTCCACGCGTTTTGCTCACAACTTTCCGCTTCTAAAAAATTAGCGACTGACCAACCGAAGACGGTCACACTACAGCGGGGCGATAGATCATTATCGCTCGACCAGGGATTCTATACGATGAGCTTTGCCGATGTATATCGATTGCAATAGCGATACCGTTCATCGTTTATGTTTTTCCTGTTTTTGGACCTTTAAATGGTAAATTTTTAAAATGTTTTAAAAAGGTCCTTTGTGTTGCAATTAAAAATTTGTTTTGCATGCAAAATTAATATTATCTATGCCAATATTTTTATTAAGGTTTTGGCATTTTATGCAAATTTAAAGAGAGCCACACTGCTGTAAATATATTCCTTTATTTTACATTTATTTACTTTGCTTTAATTTCTTAATGCAGTCAGTTTGAGGTACTCTTAAGACACTTAAATAGTTGTCCACGAAGTTTCTGGAGCAAACTCCGATTCAGAAAGACTATCTGGAAACAAAGCAATTTATGCGTTGACCCCCTGACCCCAGCTGATAATAGAAATATTCATATTTTAATTTTACCTAATTTACCTTTAGGACAAGTGCCATGGAGACAAATGTGAATCCCCTGGCTGTAATCTTGGTTTACTTCGACAGCAAGGGTGATCGGTTACTGTACAGGTACCCCTACCAGACTCTTGGCCAAACGGAGGTGTCCAACGACGATCAGCGGAAGTCGAGGTACTTTTGTATAAAAAGAGGCCCAGGTTTTACTATTGTATAAAAACTGATGTATTCAATCACAGAAAGCGCAATCCCTATGCCGTGGCCAATACGGACGATCTGGTGCAGACGTCCACCCACTTGGGCGCTGCCAAGAGCCAAGGACAGCTCCAGGGATTCGCCGACGAGGTCCTATCCGCTCTTTTTGCTGTTAAACCACAGCTATGCAACCAGAAGTTTGAACTCAAACTGAACGACGTGCGCTTCGTCAGTCATCCCACTCTGATTCCGCACAAGGAGCAGAGAAGTGGAGCAATGGCCAAGCAGCAGATGCTCATCAACATTGTTTTTGCGCTGCATGCGCAGGCCAGCTACTCGATTGTTAAGTGCTATCACGAACTGAGCAAGCGCCTTGGACTGGCGCTGAAGTTCGAGGAGCAGCGCAGTGGCTACCTCACCGAGCAGACGGCCCAAATGGCTCGCACCCACGACGAGCAGCAGCAACAGCCGCTGGAGCGCACACTGGAGCTGATTGCAGAGCGCTGTAGCTTGGCACAGGCCTTGCGCTCCATCTTCCACGATCTTTGCACCACCGGCCTGCTGAGTACCTCGCTGAATCACAACCTAACTCTGTGCTTCTGCCTGCCCGCTAAGGCACACCAGCTCCATAAGAAGGGCAGCATGGTGGATCCAGAAACCATAGATCGCTGTCTTCGTGCACTGAAACCTTATCATGGAATGCTGCTGCTAGTGGACTTCGCGGAATTGCTTGACTGCGTTCCACCGACAGGGGCACGAATGCTGTGGCAACTAGTCGACGCCTACAACCCACTGATAAGTCTGCAGAGCATGTCCTCCAATGCAGACTTGAGCATCGAACATGTTTATAAGCTCGTCTCGCATTTAGTGTACTGGGCTAAGGCCACTATTATTTATCCCCTCTGCGAGACAAATGTCTATGTGATCGCGCCGGATGCACCTTTGCACACGAAGTCCCATCTAGTGGAGAAGTTCTCTGCCCGTTTTGCCGGCATGTCGCTGTTCGAGGTGATCTCGGATTTTTCGTTACCCACCTCGATTGGGCACCTAACCACGCCCTTGCAGCAGCCGGCGCGACAGGGTATTCTCGCACAAATGGTGATTTGGATGCTGCAGCACCATCTGCTTATGCAGCTGCACACTTACGTTCAGTTTATGCCCAGCGAGGATGAATTCGGAGATTCGGCCTCCTGCAGCAATCATCTAAGGGATGCCATTAGCGATGAAGAAGGAGAGCAAGAACAAGATGCGGACGAGTTGCATGGCTCCATGCTTAGCATGTCCAGTCATCCGTTGCCAGTGCCAGCGGTGTTAGTGGGCGGACATCGACGGGACGTGTCCGAGGACCATTCTTCACTGGCCTCTGACAACATCGCCGTGCAGCCATCGTCCAGCCACAAGTCGAATTTCAGCATCACCGCCTCGATGAGCACGGACAATTGCGACAGCCTCGATTCCATGGAGGATGAGCAGAAGCTAAAGGAGCTGCTGCAGGTCTTCAGCGATGCGGATCGAGCCGCTATCCGTCGAATTCCCGCCTCTGCCAATGTGGATGATCTCTCACTGCTCGTGAAGCTGTATCAGATGGGTTACTTTAAGAGCGAGCACCACTTAGAGGAGATCATGTACTTCGAGAACCTGCGCCGTTCACAACTGCTGCAATTGCTGGATAAATTTAGGGATGTGCTTATTATCTATGAAACGGAAGATCCTGCAATTGCATCCATGTACAATACCAAGTAGATTGGGCCGAATTTGCATTCCTAGAAATTTATGTTGAATGTTTTTGTTTAGTTAAAGAATATAATCTATAAAATAGGTGTGTATTTAAGTTTGTAAAGTTTGCATAGCAAGTTAATTTACGCTTGCAAACTAAATGTATCGTTATTTTTTTTTTGCAAGCAAGTTCTTAAATTCAATTTAATTGAATTCAATTTAATAAACTATTCTTTTTGTTTAAAGTATTGATTTCATAAAAAAGTTACATCAAATACAAATAATTATAAATATGAGCGTACAATTTTAAACGTTGCGCCTATTGAACAGGTTCAAGATATATCGATAAGTGGAGAATATTTTGTTGCTCTAAGAGCCAGACTTAAAGAAAAATAAACCACAAAATAAAAACACTTTCATAATAAAAAAAAGCTCTGCTTAACATAAAATAAACAATTTCAAAACAATAAAAGCTGGCAATAATATACAAAGCAAACTCAACTGATTATGTAGATTTGGTATGTTTTGGTATATTCAAATGGCTGGTATTTTATCAACCAGCTGCATTTTGTTGATACTCCAAATTTGTAATCCTGCCTGCAAACATCTAGAATTCGGCCATGCTGGACATTTCGGAAATGTGCCGCGTTTGCAGGGACGAATCCGACTGCCTGGTGGATATATATACAGAGCCATGTGCCTCCATGCGGGATCAGGAGCAGGAGCCGCCCTTGGCCACAATGTTGAGGGACTGCAGCGGATGTAGCGTGGACAGGAAGGACGGAATGCCCCAGTTCATCTGCGTGGAGTGTGCGGAGGCCACAAGAAATGCCTTTCGGCTGCGACGGCAATGCCGGAAGAGCCATCAATACTTTGATCAGCTGCGGCTGATGATGAAGGAACTGGAGGATCTTGAGTCCTGCCTTACTATAAATGATAACATAGACCCAGAGATTCCGGTGTTGGTGATCGATGCTGGTGAAACGGCGGAGCCATGCGAACCGCAAGGCCTGGAACCTCTTTTCGTAGAACTTGTGGAGCTTAAGTGCAAGTCTCCAGAACCGCAGCCACTGACTCCTTCTCTTCCAGACAACAATGAGCTCACGAAAAGTGATTCTCCAGTAAAGACGCCGGACGCTAAGCAAAATAAGAGGGCGAGATCCTACTCGAATAGTAAGTCATGGAGCCCGGAAAGTGAGAAAGTTGCTGATGCCCAGCAAGATGATGATGAAACCTGGAAGGCCCCAAAACGACGCAAATCGAAGAAGGCACGCAGACCATTTCGGTGCCAGCACTGCAAACAGTCGTTCGCCCAAAATATAAACCTACGGACCCATATGCGAGTACATACAGGCGAGCGGCCCTACAAGTGCTCCCTATGCCCGCGATCCTTTGCCCAAAAGGGCAACCTGCAGAGCCACACACGCTGCCACACCGGCGAGCGACCCTTTGGATGTTCGAACTGTCCCAAACGCTTCCGGCAATTCGGCCAACTACAAGTCCACACCCGGACTCACACCGGCGAACATCCGTACCAATGTTCCATTTGTCAGTATAGCTTCAAGCAACAAAACGGACTTCAGAAACATATGATAGTACACACCGGAGAGAAGACCCGGAGCTGCAGCCAAGAAAAAAAAAAATGAGGTTTAAATAGTTACGAATTTTAATTTTATGAGATAATCGATTTGTTAATGCAACTTGTATATTCTTTTGTTATTTAAGGTAGGCCAGTAAGAAATAAACAATGAGGTTTTACTATTGTATAAAAACGTTAGATGCTAATAAGTCGCCCATCTGCATTTCGAAATGCTTAAGCGTACGGGTTAAGATAACTTTTTGAAATCGATAAAAGCAGTTGGGTCGACATTAAGGTATATTCTTTTAAGAATCTCTGATCCCTTGACACGGACAAAGCTAGTACTTGCAACCAAAGTTATAAAGCTGCTTAAAAACTATGGTTCTGTTTCCTTCCAAATACAATCTAAGGTACATATTATAAATAAATCGATTCGATTATCAATGGAAGAAACTATATTTATGTTAGCCAAAGTCAATATGAGTACATCTCTATATGAATGTATTAGTTTAGTCCCTAACTTCTTTCTATTTTATAAATATATTGAAAGTCTTTATACAATGATGACGCCCTATAAAGTTTTTTGTGGCGGTAATAACTATTTGGTAGTTGTGCCTAAGATCCGTAAAACTATTTAAGACTTCTCCGTTTGGGCCTAGTGGATCCTTTGGTGTGGGTGCGACTGTGCATGGTCAACTGGGCCTTGCCGGCGAAGCTTCTCGGGCAGTCGGGACACTTGAAGGGCCGCCCTTTATCCGCCACATTGCGTTTCTTCGTTTTCGGCTGCATGTCGTCCCCGGTGTCCTCCTCGTCCTCGCTCTTGATGCGTTCCACGAGATCCCAGTCCTCGGCCTCCAGCAGATCGCATGTCTCCTGGTCGCTTTTCTCCTTCTTTACGCGCGCTAAGTATTCCACGGTCCTTGTGTAGCGCCTCTTGAATCTCAGGGCCTCGCGCAATTTAACCAGGCACGGCTCGCACACCTTCAATGGAAAGCCGTCCCCGGATGCCACCGGATATGCACTGCAGTTCTGCAGCAAATCAGCCGGCGTGGGCTCCGGCTCCTTGGTTTTCTGAAGATCGGCGCTCAGCCTGTCCCCCAAGCTCTTGTTGTCGTAGATGTCCAACAGGTCGTCTGACTCGCCCATGCACACCCGGCACATCTTCACCAAGTCCTCCATAACTTGGGTTCGTTATTGGATTCCAAACAATTACTTTTCAAACAGAATGATTACACTGCATCGAATGACCATCAATCGACAACAGAAAAATACCAAAAGGCGCCATTCCAGGGATGCAACATCCATGAAATATGGTTTTAAAGTTAGAATTACTTAATTATTGGTTCATTCAAAAATTAAAAATATAAATTTAAAGAATAAGAAATGTATAGAAAAAAATATTTCTTATAATATGAATATATTTAAACTAATGAACCAATTGCAATAAACACTTTTAAATGTATTTAATGTATGAATAGCTTAATTGATAATGTGTTTTTTTAAAAAGATATTGTTTTACAAGAACATGGTATAGATCATAATACATGTATTATTTTAAAGCAAAGTTCCGTTGACCTAACTATATTTATCTGCTGTAGACCAGTTTAGTTTATTTCATGATTAAAATTCTAAAATCCAGCGAGCTTGTACTATGGAAATGATTTCCACTACAAATGACCCCGATTCGCATAAAACTGTCGCAACTTGCGCAAAGTTCAAATGGACACTGGTCATTGTCTCCCAGGCTTATCGGGTGCATGGAATAACTTAAGAAACACCATGGACTGCGCAGATAATGGCCCTAGCTAAACTTAGCTCCATCTCCAGCCAAGCGGAGTAGTGATAAGATTCAAAAGACGTGGATTACAAAAGAGTTCATTGCATATTTAGCGCCCTTGGGGCGTGAAAATAAAAAAGAGTATACAAAATAAAAAATATGTGCGAGCGGGATTATCTACATCTCCACGTAAGTGGGCATGGTCATAACACCGCAATTGTTCTTCTTTGCCGACATCAGGATGTAGCCATCGTTGCCCCAGTAGGTGGACCACGAGTTCTTCACCAGCCAGTAGTCCTCCCCATTGATGGAGCCATAGCCCACGGCCAGGACAGCGTGATCCAGTCCATCTACATCGTTCTTGCACGTTGGCTCATAGTAAACTCCGTGCGAGTAGAAGCTAAATGTCTTTGGAGAAGCATCAATGGCCACTGACAGAGGTCCGTGCTTGAGCAGGGCGAGCTTGAAGGCATTCGGATCATTGGAGGTCACATTGACGAATCCCTTAATGGGTGCCACCAGGGTCACGTTGTTGACGTGGCAGTAGCCATCCTGGCCCAGATAGGGACCGTACTCCTCCTCCGTGGGCACTCCGCCGGACTGGAGCATCCACTGGTACACGCGGAAGTCCTCGCCACCATCGCAACCATTGTTGCCATAGGCCCACGAGCAGTCAATCAGCGCCTGCTGGGAAAGCCGGACCAGATTGCCGCCGTTTTTCAGGAAGAAGGCACCCTCCAGGTGGCCAATGGTGCCGAACGACCAGCACGATCCACACACAGATTGATCTGAAAGGAATTGATTGATAACAGAATGAAACGAGCTTAAGAATTTAGAGAATTAAAGAGCCCACCTTTCACTGGAGTGACAGCGCCGTATAGTCGCCAATCGTACTGGTCGGGAATCTCGTCCTGGTACTTGGGCACATCGTAGGGGAACGGCTTGCCGGTGTTGTAAATACCCGATGATCTGTACCCGCGTCGTGCCTTTAACTCCTCTTCGGTCTTGTCGGCCAAATGATTTACGGCTAGCGTGTAGGTCAGTTTGGCCCGATTTTTGGAGTGGATGTAGCGCAGGTTCTGACGGAAGATGTTCTTGCGATGCTCGTGCTCCGTGTCGCTGGGATACGCAACGCCGTGCTTGCGCTTGAAATGGTGGAAGGCCTTGTCCACATGCTCATCGGTTCCGGCTATGAACTCCTGCATGGGATTAAAGGTGGCATAGTGACCCGTGCCGGGTCCGGGGAATCCGATGCACTCCAGGCTGTCATCGATCTCGAACACCTCGTTGGGAATGTCATCGTGCTCGTAGCTGTCGTAGTCCAAGTAGTAATGATCGTAGTGGGATCCCAGTAGGGTATTATAGCCCCTCATTTCGTAGCGCACGGGAATGGGCATGCGGCTGGAGGGATAATGCGGTGACTTCTTGTACCGCACCCACAGCGTATAGATGTTCTTCTTCTGGCCAATGGTCGACTCCAGGCGGAACTTGTCGCAGGTGTAGCCCAAAAAGGACTCGGTGCCCACCAGGCTGAAGGGTTTCGCATCGGGCAGGATGCTCTGAATTTCGACAGCCTGGTCGGCGGTGCCATTCACCTGCAGACAGGTCAGCTTGTTGTTCTCCGTCTTGGTGGTAATCGGTGCCAGCTTCAGCAGGGTTCCGTACTGATTCTCGCCAGCCAGCTGGTACGTCTTCACCATTCCGCCGTAGTAATCGATGCGGGACCGCTTCGTATTCTTGTCATACCAGGCGTAGAAGGGTTCCGCGATCTCGGCGTACGGAATGTACAGGGTTCCCTTGACTATGTAGTTTGCATCCCATTTCGGCGGATTCGTGGCATTAGCTATGATTTTCGTTGGCGAAAGTGTGGAGAGATTCAGAAGAGAAAAAATGAGCGGGAATTTGGCAATAAGAAACGGTAAAGGGCAGCCATCGAGGCTCAAGCTCACGCCATTGCTTATATACTGCGTACATAATTATATACAATTGTATATACGTATACACAGCTGCGGTCAATATATCAGTACTTGCCCTTTGGACGGAATATAATTTAAATCATTTAAAAATCAAATTTAGTTGATTTGGTGTAATTTAAAATATCTTCTTTTCATTTTTTAAATATACGTTATTGCAACAACAAAGATAAGATAAAGTTAACATTGCTAAGACGATGACCTCGACTGTTTTTACTGTATATGTATGCATTAGTTTAAAGCGCACATTAACGCAGGAACAGCTATTCTTTGTTTGGCTAAACACTTGCATTCTAACGTCTATAGCTCACCTGAGAAAGCCAAGCCTGCGAACAGGGCTAAAGCTAAAAACACTTGCATTCTCGAGAATTTACCAGAGACTTGTCTGGAATATTAATTGATCCCGACTTTTCTAAACTACCTATCTTTTCGAAGAATTAAACTGTTCTGCCGGCTCAATAGTCCGACTGCTTTAACAACAACTTTCTATGGGTGAGTTTTTCACGATGCCGTGAAAAACATCGGTATTCATCGGTTAAAGAGCTTTCTCGTTTGTACCAGTGATGCCAATTAGCCTTTTTCCGGACAGATCTGTCCTGTTTTTTAATGCTTCATCCGGAAAAAAATTTCAAGAGGGATGCCAATATTGTTATTCATACAAGTGTTTGAAATGTTATAATATTTATTTTAAAATATTTATTCATAAAAAATATTTAAAATACAATATAAAATTCTTGTTAAGAAATTGATTACCCTACACTGAAAGGGATATATATATATTTATATATTTATTCGTATACAAAGTGCTACTAAATTAATCTCGAGCTGTAAGTAATTAAATAATAATCTATTATTTTGTCATAATTATATTAGTGAGTGAAATAGTGAGGTCTTTAAAGTGAGTAGTAAAAATTGTCTTAAATAAAGCCTGAAGAATGTTTAACATACTGTTGGAACACATAGTTATTGTATACAAAGTGCTACTAAATTAATCTCGAGGTGTAAGTAATTAAATAATAATCTATTATTTTGTCATAATTATATTAGTGAGTGAAATAGTGAGGTCTTTAAAGTGAGTAGTAAAAATTGTCTTAAATAAAGCCTGAAGAATGTTTAACATACTGTTGGAACACATAGTTATTGCCGCTTTTAATATTTGCTTAGGAAAAATATTTTCTTGTAGCCCTATAATTCCCAACTAGTTCTAGTGAGGACTGTAAGGCATGTCTTCTAATTTCGAGTCGCAAAATAGTTCAAGTCATCTCTCTTAGCGGTCGAGCGGTGAGTGTATGTGTATGCAGTAGTGTATGTACCGGCGTATGGATGTATGTATGTAAGTATGTATGTATGTATGCAGTAGTGTATGTACCGGCGTATGTATGTGTGTATGTATGTATGTATGTATGTATGTATGTATGTATGTGTGTATGTATGTATGTATGTATGTGTGTATGTATGTATGTATGTATGTATGTATGTATGTATGTATGTATGTATGTATGTATGTATGTATGTATGTATGTATGTATGTATGTATGTATGTATGTATGTATGTATGTATGTATGTATGTATGTATGTATGTATGTATGTATGTATGTATGTATGTATGTATGTCTGTATGTATGTATGTGTTACTTGCACAAAGTAGTAAAAATTGTCTTAATTAAAGCCTGAAGAATGTTTAACTTACTGGCGGAACACATAGTTATTGCCGCTTTTAATATTTGCTTAGGAAAAATATTTTCTTGTAGCCCTATAATTCCCAACTAGTTCTAGTGAGGACTGTAAGGCATGTCTTCTAATTTCGAGTCGCAAAATAGTTCAAGTAATCTCTCCTTCCGGTCGAGCAGTGAGTGAAGTGTATGTGATCTTAAGTCTGATTACTTGCAACATCGAATCCCATCCCTCTTGAACAAATAATGTTATTCATACAAGTGTTTGAAATGTTATCATATTTATTTTAAAATATTTATTTATAAAAAATATTTAAAATACAATATAAAATTCTTGTTAAGAAATTGATTACCCTACACTGAAAGGGATATATATTTTTATGTTTATTCGTATACAAACTTTGTACACGAGCTTATCAACATTGTTTTGTTTTCTTTTTATAGTATTTTATTTGATATGCATTCCGTCAAAAAAGTTGTACGTCTTCAAACGCATTTGATTTTAGAAAATGACTTTGAAAAAAAAGAAATTTTATTTGCGTTCACTTAAGCTTCTTAATGTGAATACAGTATCATACTTAAATTTTTTTTGTTTAAGAGATTTAGTTTGATTTTGTATTAATATTTTAAATATCGATAACAATAACATTTTTATTGCGTGCACAGGGTGCACAGGGTTATACAGGTACTTTATACATCTAGTGTGACCGTAGTGATCATCACTGGGAGTAAAAATATGTGTTTTTTTTTGTACTATACAAAATTTAAATACACTTCCTTCTGATGCTATGAAGTTTTAAATAAAATACAAAACCGTCCAACAAATAATCAAGATTTAAATGGCAAGTTTT